TCTCCATCTCCGGCTTGATTGAAGGCAATAAATGACAGAAACGTCACGAATAGCGCGTGGAGATATATGAGGCTGATTGATAATTGTCGCAAATCATAAAATGGATCGATAGCTAGCGCGCGATATCAGACTGTGAAATTAGATGTCTAGAATGGATGAATCAGGCATTGAGCGTCTTAGATGCATTTGTTATGTGGCCCTATCGATAAGGCGAGTTGTCAGTATCTGATAACCTTCAATAAAGGAAAGACAAGCTGCAGGCCGGAGATTTGTTTATACTGATTGTGTTGAGGCAGTTAAATTGTGTGCGAATGGTGGAGAAGAAAGGCGCCTGTCATTTGACAAAGTGTACATGCTATGAGCAATATCGAGCAGTCGGGAGTGGCGGACCGGAGGGACGCCGACGACCGACTGCGAGATGAGAGGGTTGTCACATGTTTTGTGTAGTTCTAACGACAAAAGTACCATGGGAAGAAAATCAGCCGAGCGTTCAGCGAGAGTGCCCGAACAGCGTTACTGGTGATAAATTCACAATAAATAAAGACCTTTTATATCCTCACGTTTGTTTTACAAAGACAATAAGCTATTTTTTTTGCGAGAGTTAATAAATAGTTGAACAGAAAAGGTTTTACCGTTTCATCGTACGTGAAGTTGCTAGATTGATTCGCCTCATTAATAGCACACGCAGACAGTATATCTGTCTTCTACAGTCGAGGGTGAAGTGAGTCGGCACGACGAACGCTACTTGTTGTTTTCTGATGGCACGAATTCAATAACTTAATACTGATTCACTTGATTTGTTTATTTTTCAGGAATTCTAAATATTTAATGTTATTCTTTCTTGTTTATACTTCCGAGGGAACCGCCCGAGATGATTCATCCCTTTTAAGCTCATATTTATGGCACATGTAAGGGACATCTAGACTAGAATAAATCTCAAAGGATTTGGGCCCATGACCTTTCTATTTAGTTAATTCGATCATCAGAAATTATCGGAATTTTCAGGTTCACATCGACAAGATTCCATGATAAAACCGATCATTGACTGCTATCGGAACTGGTCGGATCATACAAGTACTCAGGATTTCTGTTCATCGGATTTTTCTATTTCAAATGAGCATAGATCCGGCCGGAGTCAGTGACTGGAATTACATCGGAAATAATCAGAAAGCTATGTATGTAGCTAAACGATATGGCGAATATACTATTGAAGAAATAATAATTCAAAGTTAAATTGAAAACTCATTTAGTTATGTTCTATCGAGTGAAATTCACCAGTTAATTGAAATGACACTATCTCTATTCGAATGATAGATAAAAATCAGATTTGATTGATGACAAATAGTTGCTCTATATTGTGGAAGAATTCAATACTTGGCAATAAGAATAGTACAAAAAATTACTGTTAAAATAAATAAACCTTTGCATAGTGACGACATTAAGGAATCTAATTTTTTGTTTGGGAAAAATCTAATAATTATTGATAGTTTTAATGAATTTCAATTTGCTTCATGTCAATACTAGTCATATAGCTTTCTCTCATGATAATACCACTGTTACTACACAGCGAGATCAGTCGACAAAGCTTTTTGCGAACTGTCATTAATTACTATAAATAAATCTGAGTTAAATAAGTTAATAATAGTAATAACTTAAAATGTATTAAAAACTAACAAAAACAAGTTGAAATCTATGGTTAATTTCAGAAAAACAAAGAAAATTAACATCAGATAAAAATAGTGTTTATATTTAACTTATAAAATGAATTTATACTCAGCATGTAATTAAACAATTAATGTGTATTCATCGTTCCACAAATTGTTCTAAGTGTCATAGTGAGTGATTATGAATTGGTTCTTGCTAAAAGGTATGATTATGAATTTGAATAATATTTGAGCGCGTCGTTTTTGCATTAGCAGCTCCAATTCAAATATCTCAATTCAATCCGGATTGTGATCAGGGTTATATAGAGGTGGACTTTTTAATCCAACAGTTTAAGACAATCATCTCGATTCCACGATCTCGACTTAATCCAGATTACCATGGCAATATAATGGGATAATGGGGCAGTCCTAGTGGAATCCATTTTAATCGAAGTGAAATCCGTTAAAGTCTAGATGAAATCTATCATAATCCACATAAAATCCGTCACAGTCCATATGGAACCCGTAAAATCTGGCTAGAATCTATCGTGATTTAAGTGGAATTCATTGTAGTTTTGGGGAATTGCATTGTACTCCAGGTGTAAATCACGATAATCTAAGAATAAATTAGCGAATCTCAGTGGCACGTCCGACAAGAACCGTAAAATTGCGGTCGGAATGCTGGAGTTTCCGATGGGTCCCCGACGCACTCCGATGTCGGTTCCGACAGCTTCCGGTCGGATTTACCCGTCGATTTGAACGATCTGGGATAGTATTTGCCGCTTGATAATCATTTTGTCTAAAAATGTCAAAAACTTCTAGTTTTGTGTTAATTATATTCACTTTCACATATCCTCAAATAATTAAACTATCAATCATCTTTATTTCATTTAAAAACAAATATTTCGTTCTAACTTTTGTTTTTACTTGTATGTGTTTGATAATAATCTTGGTTAGAATAAAACGTCAGATTTTGCTGCTAAATGAAATAGATATGATTTTTAGTTTAATTATTCTTTATTTTTACTCTTTCAATATTATACTATATGCTTAATCAGAAGTATTAAAATTTTTCATGTAAAATATGACAAGAGATTGCTTAAGCAAATATACTTCATGTTATTAGAAGGAGAAAATCATGCTTTCTTATAGAATAAAAAGCAATGCATTCAAAGAGAAAAACATTTATTCATATAAATGTTTTTTTCTAGTCAGATAGATGAACAATAAGAATAAAAGAATATATTTTTATCAGAAATATTACTTTGTGTTATCGAAAATTTTAATAGTGTTATATTTTAGAATATTTTCTATAAGATAATTAGATCACAGTTAAATTATTCAAAACCAAATATCATCGTTTTTATTCTTGTAGCTTTACGAATTCAAATTATATAAAAACTATTTATTATGAATCACGACAATATAAAAGTATAATATGTTATTTTTTCACTAATATATTTTATAATTTTTCAATTATTTCAGATTGAAGTACCATCTGTTCGATCAAAAACATTGTATGTAAATTGTATTTGATAAGAAATAGAAATAATCATTGAACATTTTAGACGCGAACGTTTCCAAAAAAGAAAAATTATGTGGATTTCAGTTTTTAGTATTATTGCAGTTTTGATCATATTGACTATTATTATTCCAACAGTTACTATCAAGAAGAAAACTAAGGGCACAACAATAACAACAGGACTAATGACAATCACGCTAGAAACAACAAAATTAAGTCAAATTACAAAGGAACCAATAACAACAGAAATCACGCTAGAAACAACAAAATTAAGTCAAATTACAAAGGAACCAATAACAACAGGACTAATGACAATCACGCTAGAAACAACAAAATTAAGTGAAATTACAAAGGAACCAATAACAACAGAAATCACGCTAGAAACAACAAAATTAAGTGAAATTACGAAGGAACCAATAACAACAGGAATCACGCTAGAAACAACAAAATTAAGTGAAATTACGAAGGAACCAATAACAACATTAACAACAAGTAACGTTCGTCATTACGACTCACTTAACTATCGACTGTGCGAGAAAAAACTAGGTTTTTGTATCGCTAGTCATATGAACTAGTTCAGCGTCTTTGTACGGACGAACAATTCAAATTTTTGTTTAAGTATAAACCATTACTTTCTAAGCCAGCCGGGACTTAACCATGCCAGGGTACCCTAACCATACTCTACTTATGAGCCCGCACAGTGAAGGACCTGAACATCCATAGATACCACTCTGTCTATATAGGGCTTGGGACCTACGAGTATCCCCATAGTATAGGACATGAGGACGCATGAGTGCGCCCAAAACGCGCTTGATAACAACACAAGGATGAAACAATAGTACCGCACATGCGGAGCCATTAGTATGCCCACAGTGGATGACATTAGGGTTGTTGAATCCCTTGAAAATGGACTACTTAGGATCCCAAGGATAGCTCGAATGTGTGCGACTTGAACACCGATAAGTACCCTGAATCTGCGCCGCACGAGGACCCATAAATATCATCAGAATATTCAATAATATGTGTTTGATTTTTTACTTTGGCAGAAATAAACAAACCATTTTATTTCATAAGACCATCTCTACAGTCGAGGAAACAGGTTTTAGTGTTCGAAAACTTCGTTGTTCAAAATGAAATATATTTGAGAGAAATAGACAGTTACTGTTGCACATATTCCCGAAGTTAGCATATGATGCATTATAGCGTTTTCCTGGAAATTTCATGTATTCAAATGTGAGACGAATTTCCCGGAAATCTCAAAAACCATTTTCCGAACTCAAAATTTAAAACTTACATTGAAGGTGTCGCGAAGGGTGAGGGGAAATAGGCGATTTATGCGGTATAGGATGGTATAAACCTTAAACCGTCTTAGGCCCGCTTGATTCGCTTTGAAATTTTCGCAAAAATCGGTTTCCCAGAAAACACTATAACGCATCAAATCTAAGTATCAGTGGATTTATGCTGAAGAATTACAGTAGCGGGTTTAAATATGTAATTATTGATTAATCTATTTGTAAACAAAAACTGTTGTCCTGAAATGTTCTTTTTTACATGAATTTTCTTTTTCTAATAGCAACAACCACGACGTGTCTCTGTAATTCTACATATACAAATGAAACATGGAATTCAACGGCTAATCGCTTAGCTCAATGGTCATTTGACGGAGATTATCGTGATCAAATGAACAATTATAATGCCACACCAGTAAATAATATGTCATTTATTACGACGGGCTATGTCAGACAAGGTCTTAGGTTTGTTGCTAATACAAATTCAATGCTTAATATTCCACACATTCCACTCGTATCAACAAGCTTTACTATTGATATGTGGATTTATATTACTGGATTGTCGAACACTTTGGAGCATGGTCTATTTGGCCTTTGTTCAGCAGCTGCATCTTATCGATGTTTGCATTTGTCAATTCGTCAAAATGATGCTAATTATTATTTATATTTTGCTTTTTATAACAGTGATTGTACAGGTGTGACATCATTGATGCTAAACACGTGGATGCATGCTGCATATGTGTTTGACTTTACAACATTAAAACAAATGATCTATCTCAATGGGGTATCAGACACAACATGTACTGCATCATCTTATCCTACGTCTAGCACAACAACTGGTGTTACAATTGGATTTATACCACTGATAGCAACCGTTTTTGGCAATGGCACTATGAGTTATTTTCAGGTAAATAATTATATATATATATGTACAACTCTTATTAGAATCAACTATAATCAAGTGTAACATTTCTCCTTTGAAAAAACACATTGTACTATGTATTTCCGAGTATTTTAGGGTTATATGGATCAAATCACTGTTTCGAATCGAACTAAATCTTCATGTGAAGTACTTGAAATAGCAACATTAGTTGCTCATTTTACATTTGATGATGGATCATTTCTTCAAGATTCTGGTCCTAATTCACTCGATAAAGCAACAACACAATCAACATCATCTATTCCATATGGTCAATATGGTCAAGCCATTCACTTTACTGGTACAACTTCGTCTTTTTTTCAAGTATCTGGTTTTACTTCGCTTGGAACAACAAATAAACCATTTTCGATTTCTCTCTGGATTCGACCAATGTCTCTACAAGGTGTTCTTGTTCATGTTACACGTCAACTAACAGGTCATTGTGGATGGTGTATTCCGTTTCTTGCTTTTACTTCTAATGGTTCGATTTTTGCCGAAATCTGGACGGGTGATAGTCTTGTATCTGTTATTGGTCCAAAATCTGCTGTATCAACATTAGTTTGGTCACATATTGTTCAAACATGGAGTTTAAATAATGGTCTTCGTCTTTACATCAATAACATCCTTGTTGCATCCGATAATATTTCAGCAAAACCATTTTTAGCTAGTGGAACTGTCAACTTTATAACATTAGCTAACGTTTTCCCTGGAGGTCTGTTGTACGGCCACCAAGCAATATCAATGCCATACAATGGTAGTATGGATGATTTTCGTGTTTACAGTCGTGAATTATCAGCAAACGATGTTAATCAACTTTATAACAATTCAATATAAATTAGAAGTGTACAGCTCTCGCTCATGATCGTGAGCTCTTATGTTTTCTTTTTACTATTGAACACATTAGAAATTGGAGATGATGATTGCCTTTGTTTATGTAGTAATGTAACATTGTATGTGACGCAAGTTTCCTAAAATAAACCACTATCGTTCTAATTAGCTCATATAAAAACTACTTTTTATAATTAGTTAATTTGAGACAATCGCTGAAGAAAAATCTCTCATAGCTGGTTAGCTACAATGTTCTTACGTTTCTTATGCAAAATTATAGCTAAATATTTGTCATTTTTTGTTTGATACTGAGGTGTCCAGACCGTGTTTTGTAAAATATTGAATGAAAAATTTTATGTAGTCAATTTCGCAACCACTAATGATAGGTTAATTTCAGCTTTAAGTCTTCAAAATAAATGATAAATTCGATTCTATTTCAAACTATTAAGTAAAGAAATTTCAATCAACGATCGTAACTATAGTATTATTTCTTTTGTTCAAAAGTGAAACTCTGTCCTTCAGTATCTGCGAGTATTTCGATTTGATCTTACTATAGCATATATATTTAATGAATAAGAAAATAATAGAAATGCGTAAGATCTTCTTTTATTTATTATCATTCTTCTCGTTTAATGGACATACACAACAAGCGCATTAAAACATAAGAAACAATTCATTGATGCGTTGTGTCACTAGCAATTGATCGTAAGTGATCTAATTTATAACTTTCTTTTAAAGCCATGAGATGTCGTAATGAAGATGGAAATAAAGAGCTTCATTGTTTTCGTACGATAAAACCAGCAACTGAGAAAATACTTTCACTCGGAACTGATGATGATAATTTTGATCGAATGCATCTGGAATCTGTAAGTTCTGATCAGAGGCGGGACGCAAGTACATGTACTGATAACAAAATATTATCATGCAGAAGAATCATTTATTTTTTCGTTTTCTATTTATGAAATTTGTTCATTGACGTAATAAAGGAACGTCAGCAGAAACACGTCAATTTATGACAAAATTATTCAGAATAAGGTACATTTTTGCATTACGCTGTTGAGTACACAAAATATATGACGAAAAGATAATAATTTATCTATCACTGTTTCTAGAACATTACCGAGTGAATATAAAGCAACGTTGAAAACAATTCCTTCAACTTATCTCTAACGAGGGAACATATTTAGGTGATCAAACAGTTTAGATTCCATCTTTTGGTGGTAAGTAGACCTCGATGAGGTATGCAAAATCTCAAAAGGATTCGTTCCCTCGTTACGATTATTCTACTCTATTTTCGGCTTACTGCAAGGTATTTCGATAAAACTCTGATGACGCATTTTCAACCTAAATTTTCCCCATCAAAAGGTCTCGTTCGCACTAGATTGTTCTACAAATATCAGCTCGAAGGAATGTCTCCTTCACGAAATAATAAATTTCCAAGACAGCTCAGCTTTTTCGAGTGGTTGATGTAATACTGGATTTTTAAAACTCGTTTATCTCGTGAAGGAGACATTCCTTCGAGCTGATATTTGTAGAACAATCTAGTGCGAACGAGACCTTTTGATGGGGAAAAATTTAGGTTGAAAATGCGTCATCAGAGTTTTATCGAAATNTTAGGGCACACTAAGATTGCTGCTTGACGTTCTATATTTTTGACTCTTGTGTATTCTTCGTGGCGCATTTGATATGTTGTGTATGGTTGCGACGTTGTTTGATTGAAGTGGCCCAAGTGCTTATTGTATTGCGTCGTCGTTTCTTTCTTCTTATTGTATATTGCATTGGTAATATAAAATTGAGGTTTTTTATGCCTCTTCAAAAAGAGTTGGAAAAATTCAGTATTTTGTTTTCGAAAGTTACTAAATATATCTGCGCAAGGCATTCGAACTGTTTCTTCGTGTATAAAAAATTGTTAGATCAATTTGTGTCACATTGCGGATACGAAAAAATACTTGTTCTCCACAGTCGAGAGTTAAGTGAGTCGGCACGGCGAGCGCTACTTGTTATCATTCTTCTCGTTTAATGAACATACACAACAAACGCATCAAAACCATATGATGCACTATAGCGTTAGCCAGGAAATCCAATGCATTTCGGATGCCCAGGGAATTCCGGGAAATTGAATTTCAGTATGAGGCGGTATAACATACTATCATCTCATTGAGGGTGCTGCGGAGGGTGATGGCAGCTTTTTGTTCGGTAAGAATTTGTCAGTGCACAATCGAATTATTTTCTTTGTCAAATACTGGGAAGCTAAGTAGATAAAATACTGCCTATACCGCTTATACAGCCCTATGTGGAAGGTATATCTAAAGATCATTTAATCCTATTTCAAAATCTTGTAAAAATCAGTTTCCCGGAAAACGCTATAACGCATCAAATCAAATAGAATAAATATCTACTTCATAATTTTTTCTCCTTTGTATTTTATTTCTGTTGAATACTAAAACCGTAATATCGGGTAAAAACGATTGACAACAAAATAATAATAATTACAAGCTTTAATACGGTTATCTCTATACAAGTGATGTTAAATCTTCAGAGACTAACAAAATAAAATGTGCCTTTTTCACTGAAAAAATTTATAACTTGTGTTGAGTCGAGTGTCAATTCTTCGGAGATAATCGCATCCCATCTTCTAAGTATGCAACTTACTGATTCATTCTCTCTTCGCTTTAACAACCAATATTAGAAAGACGTGCAACTACGTCCATAGAACGCATCAATGAAGGGTAAATGATGTTTTTTTTTCACCATTGAACTGCCTGAACTCAAAAGAAAGTAAAAAAATCTTCCAGGAGACCATTTTATGTATTCGCTGAAAACATTAGAAAAGGCCTGATTTTTGTTTTCTCATATCCTTAAGTAAATTAAAAGAATATAAATTCAGCGAAAAGCAAGAAAAAAGGAAACGGAGACATAAAAAGGCATTCATCACTAGTAGATGCTTTCATTCTGATCGTGAGTTACATAAAGTTTATTTGGTTAAAAAGTGAAAGTCTGATAGAATATGATTTGGATACGACTATTAGTCTTATTTTTGATTGTTATTTTGGACCAAGGAATTGCACAGAATACAAATGCAGTTATAATGTCGATTATGAATGGATGGCAATTTCAATGTGCTACAACAACTTGTCTACCCTATGCTACTATTACTGCATCCTCTATGCTTCTATGTGAAAGTAGCTGTTTACGACAAATTCAATGCAAAGCTATTAGTTTCCGACAATCAACTGCTATCTGTCAATTGTTTAATGGCAACATAAATCAAAACAGCAGTTTGCAAGCTATTGTGGGCACTGTTACTATGACAGTCATCTCTGACATACGAACGCCGTCGGGTAAGTATCGATTGGATATATCATAATATTTATGAGCTAGAAAGGGCGAGGGCAATATCGATGCACTGCTTCATATACGCAATCTCTTTTGAAGATTCCTCATATTATAGTTACAAATAGTTGACGTTTATACGTCAAGTAAACTTCGCTGGCAAGACTTAGGAATATTTAGACAAAAACTTTTGAGATTAACGTAAGTCGTCGAGAGTTGGAAGAATCTCTAATAGATGGTGTGAACAGGTTCTTAACATTGAACATCATTCGATCTCTTTCATTTGCATGATTTATTTTTTACATAAAAGTGCATACCTCAACATCGTCGACATCATCGTCAACCTCGACATCGACATCAACTTCAACAGCAACACCAGGTAGCGATATTTAACAGATTAAAATGAATTTTTAAAGAAAGAAAAGTCAAAAGGACGAGGTGCGAAACGAGTATAGAAGGAAATGTGACATAATCTATCTATATACATAAAGAAGAAAGTTTATCTGTTTGTCTGTTCGCTATGCATCACGTCCCTGTAATAGCTATCGCCACCGAACTTTCCACGATACTTCCTAATGTCCAGAGGAAGGTCGACATCTACCTTGTTCCGGAAAAAAAAGCACGAGGCATTTGTTACAGGCAATCTATGAAACTGACCAATAGCATTGCAGGATTCCAAAATAAGAAAACCCTTTTCTCATTTCTACATAATGAAAAATAAACCATATTTCTATAAAAATCTTTTGTTTTCTAACTACTGATATTTTTCAATCGAATGAGAAGAAAAATCGTTTCGTTTTATCTAGGATGGACAGTAACTGGAAATATGAATGTTGCACGAAAATCTCATACAGCATCGATGTTATCAAATGGAAAAATATTAGTTACCGGTGGATATGGTAGTAGTAATCTCAACAGCGTTGAATTATATGATCCATCAACGAGTAATTGGACAACAACTACAAATATGAGTGTTGCACGATCTTCTCATACAGCATCGATGTTATCAAATGGAAAAATATTAGTTACTGGTGGAAGTGGTAGTAGTGGCGAGCTCAAGAGNACACATGATCCTCTTATATATCAAAAATATTTTATTCATTGCTCGGCAAAGATTCCTACTATTTCGTGTTTGTTTTGAGATCCATATTAAGTGTTCTCATTTTGATACGAATATCAGAACAATTTTCACTGCTATTGTTATGTGTTGATAATGAAGAAAGACTCGTCGATTGTTTGAGGCAATAAATCAGTAGGTCGGATAGCCGAGATGATCTAAAACAGAAAAGACAGAAAATCGAAGTCAAGGATGATATGAAACGAAGGTGTAATTTTACCCATTGTTGTTGTCAAATGATTTGATATCAATAAATGATGATGTAAAGACGATCGAATTTGGCACTCAGTGAAAAAAACCAAACAAGATACTTTCTTTGTAAATCGCGTCAATAATATGTCTCATATTCGTTATGAGAGGAATATTGCTAACACAACTGTAGAATCGTCACAGCCCAAAGCTGAAAATGTTGTGGATACATTTCGACAGAAAATAGTTAATACTGTCAAAGATGGCACTAATTTTATTACGGCACCCTTCTATCTCATCAATGATATACAAAAGAATTGGTAAGATTTATACGATAAAGTATACAACTTTTGGCATCGTGAAAACTGAACTATAAAACGCCACGCGGGCACATGACATATTCGACACTGCGACTCAACATTCTGAGCGTAAATTTTCGAGAGAAAGAGCGCGTCAGGACAATTTATTTCAGTTATCACCAACAATCATATGAATAAATCTTACGCCTACAGCTAGATTGTTGTGAGTCCGTCTTTTTTTGACAATAGAAGACATTTCGGATGCAATTTTTTCAATCTAAATATGATTAGAAAGACTTAGTATAGTTCCTGATCATTTTGAAGAAAAAGAACGTGTTAAAGGTCACACATAGACGGTCAATGACTTGCTTAAGTGATATAGACGGAGTGATGTGTACGCGAACAAAATGTGTGAACTAAAGAAAAAGAAAATAATTAGTGATAAATAGCCATCTTGCTTTACATACAAATATGTTAAGCAATATGGTTACCATAGAGAAAGTACTGATAATGTGCTTTCTTTGAAGAATATTCCATAACGTGCGTTTAATATATCAGTCTTGTCGTCACCATAGATTTCTTTTTTAACACTTTCGTTTTGTTCTAGGAGCAATTATTTATTGAATGCAATCATATGTGCGGCTGCAGCGATCATCTTGATCGCGTTACTGTGTAATAAAACTTCATCAATTGTCATACTAAATGAATATAGACGTCGTCCGAGCGGAGAAAGAGAATCTTCTGCGTGACATCATGACGCCGTTTGAGCACGTTTGATTCTCTTTAACAATTTTACATAGATATCTAGCATATTTGTAGTTGTCTCCTTTGAATACTTATGTGTGTGCTGTGCAGTTTTATTGAAAACAACCTTGAACTTTCGTTCAATTCGATTTAAGTTATTCATTCTTCTTTATTCAGTTATTTTTTCTGTTTTTGCACGGGAACGATCGCTACGCGAATGAAAGAAAAATCAATCGTTCGACGTTTTTCACTGGCTATCTTCTTATTATCATGTAATTATAAACATTATCAACTGAATTCGAATTCATTACTGTGTAAATTTCAATTGGTATCTTACAAGGATTTATTTTTTACGAACTTTATACAGAAACAAAATTAGTCGATGCAGGAAGATCCGTTAACGTTTGAATTTTTCCGTGTGCTTCCAAGAAAGCAATAGATCCAATAAAAAATTCGGATTAGCCGAGCGACGCAGTCTCAAATTTTCTTCCTTTCAACAACTAATATTTTCGAACGAGGCAAAAATAATCTTTTGTTGTACATTTCTAGATATAAAATCTATCGCTAATTCTAATCAACTCCTGTTGCATTCTTGAGAAAATGAAAACTGTTGCTGCCTCACAAACAAAATTATTTAGAATGGTTTGCAAACAAGCAGCATTGTTGAGAACACCCTATCGCAACTCATCATGTGTAACAAATCAACTCAAACAACATAATCAAAAGGAATCAAGTGAATCTAAAACCACCGAAGTGTCCCAATTTAATAATAAAATAAAAAGAATTGTGTGCCAAAAGCCATCACCACTTACAAAGGTACCTACCCTCAAACAGTACACTTTTTCGCATGTAAAGCACACAGTTACGAAATAGTATGTTTCAATATTCTTTTTCATAGAAAAAACCATTATCACACACAGCCAACTAATGTAACTGCAAGAATCATACTTCTATGGCTAAAAAACTGTAAAAATTTATCACAACGGAGTTGAATTTTTTTTTCTACGCTTGTAATTTTCATTTATGCAACTGTAGCAAGTTTCTGACTATTTGCTTTAATCAACGCTTTCTATTAATATCTTATACGTGAAATTTTATGCATTGTCACTATTTTTATTTCTATTAATATAAAAATATTTGCCAAAAACACATAGTATCCAATTCTACAGAGTTTCGAAGCAATGTACAAATAAGTCTTGTTTTATCAAGCTATACTGGTGAACTCAAACGCGAAACCTATCTTACAAAGGAGACACGATACAAACCATGAGGAAATTTAGAAAAACGAGCTTTTAATATAAATAGCAACACTTATCGGTATTCATGATAGTCTAAAAGGCTTTATGACCATAACAATATGATATGTTCAGTTCCACGACTATTTTCATTTCCCACCATCGTTGCATTTTCGTAAAAAAATCCTTGTTTGTGACTGTGAATCAAACAGCAGGACTCCAATTCAACAATATCCAATCAATAATTTCACTGTTGCCTAATACCTTCTCCCTATCAGTAGTGCTGTACCCAAGAGCTGACTAGTTCACTTATTCCATTATAAAAAAAACTAATATCAGATTCGAGATCCTCGACCTCGATTACCCTTCGGTCGTGTTAGGTCCGTATAGTGTGATAGAACTAGTTTATTTTAAAATAGTAAAACAGGACCCCCTTCCATAAAAAGACGAGAGCTATTTATATAGTATGCCACACACCTAGTTGGAATATACTAAACAGATTTCATCTAATCTTGTAAAATTCCAAAGATGTTATTGAAAAGCGAGAAACCTAGATGAAACTCTTTGGAAAATCCCTATTAGGATCGAGGATGAGTGATATCTATAGTAATCATATGTATATAAGAGAAGAAAGAGAACGAACATATGGAAAAGACCCTATGTCATGAGTCATCTTATGGTACGTCATATTACGTGTCATAACAGGTCGACCATTACCGTGCATATTAATAGTTTATGTCGAGTTGACCGCTAGTTATTTAATAGTTAATAATTAGTTAAATATAACCTCAGATTCAAGTTCCCCGACCTCGATTACCCTACCGGTAATCATTTTCAAACAACGATCGATCAATTTCATTGATTTTAGAAATGCTGATTTCTGATTGGATAGGACAGACAGACAAACTTTAAGCTTTTTAATAGTGGAGTAACCTGACGCGGGCTAGGCCGGGCACTGCCGGGACACCGACAATTCTTGCCCGGACACCGAGAAAAATCAAGTAATAATTGGTATTGAAGCGTTGATCTTTTTCGTATGTTCAATAATTCTTAAAAACAGTTTATGAATGATATTTACAGTACAATCTAGCTAAATATGTCAATTTTGACACATCCTCATATTTCGATTAATGTTATAATTACTCAGACTAATGAACATAGCCATGAAGTGGAACTTTCTAAGATACATGATGACATTATCAATTTCTCTAGTAAATATAAACTTGATTTCCCAGGTTATCATGGTACGGTCGGTTCCAGTCGGAATCTGGCGGCAAGGAACCTGCTGGAATCGGGGAAAACTATGCCGGAATCGAGAAGAGCTGTACCGGAACCGACTCAGATTTCAACGGATCCAGTCGCCGGAATGATCGACCTGGGTTATATTTATATACTGAATTGAAAAAAAGCGAGACTGGAAAAACTTCTATTACGATAATTAAGAGTCTGATTATATTTTATCGAGCAACACGAAGAAACTAATAATAGAAATAAATTTAATCTATCAGTTTTCTATTTAATAATCGACTGAATTCTACTTGCGATGAATAGTCGCTTTTGCAGAAGCAATAGTGAAAATCTTCATTGTATTTCATCATGAAATATAAGAAATGGAAACTTTATGAACAAAATTAAAAAGTGAAATTTATCTGTAAATACTGAACCACAAATAGTGAATCGAGGACAACCTTGTAACCATCAAAATTCGCAGAAGTGATGAATTTGTACCGTGAAATATTTCTAGTACAACATGCATTTCTAATTATTATATTACTTCTTATTAAAGCTATCACGGTTCTAACAGTGTTTACTACAACCGAACGAACTTTCAGGAGAATTAAGGTAATCCGAAGTGTTTTGGATAGTAGCATGCGGGACAGGAGGCTCAAAGTTACTGATTTATCAGTATTTGCATCTGAAAAAGATGTTTGTGTCAATTAGGAAAAAGATTATTGATATTTTTTCTATATAACATAGAAACAGTTGAATAATGCAGAAATAGGCACTGTTGAGTTTTTCTCTCTCTTGTTTTTGCTAGGCCTTATTTAAAAGAATAGTAAAATATATTGTTTTGACTGTGTCTTAATTGTAGGGGAACAGAGAATGGAAGATTTGAGTGAGCCATAGAATATATTTTTACTATTGTCAGGGAGTTTCTAAAATGTGCAGGGCGACGCCCGGGCACTCACATTTTTCTGGTTACGCCACTACTTTTCAACACAGCATTTAAACGCTGTGTAACCCTTTCTTTCAGAAAAGGGAATAATCACAATTCTTATTTTCTCACATCACAAGCTTTAAAACGGTTATCTCTATACAAGTGATGTTAAGTCTTCAGAGACTAACAAAATAAAATGTGCTTTTTTTCACTGAAAAAATTTATAACTTGTGTTGAGTCGAGTGTCAATTCTTCGGAGATAATCGCATCCAATCTTCTAAGTATGCAACTTACTGATTCATTCTCTCTTCGCTTTAACAACCAATATTAGAAAGACGTGCAACTACGTTCATATAACGCATCAATCGAGGGTAAATGATGTTTTTTTCATGATTGAACTGTCTGAGAAAAACTCAAAAGAAAGTAAAAAATCTTCCAGGAGACCATTTTGTGTATTCGCTGAAAACATCAGAAAAGGCCCGATTTTAGTTTTCTCATATCGTTAAGTAAATTAAAAGAATATATATTCAGCGAAAAGCAAGAAAAAAGAAAACGGAAGCATAAAAAGGCATTCATCACTAGTAGATGCTTTCATTCTCATCGTAAGTTACATAAAGTTTATTTGGTAAAAAAGTGAAAGTCTGATAGAATATGATTTGTATACGAATATTAGTCTTATTTTTGATTGCTATTTTGGGCCAAGGAATTGCACAGAATACAAATGCAGTTATAATGTCGATTATGAATGGATGGCAATTCCAATGTGCTACAACAACTTGTCTACCCTATGCTACTATTACTGCATCCTCTATGCTTCTATGTGAAAGTAGCTGTTTACGACAAATTCAATGCAAAGCTATTAGTTTCCGACAATCAACTGCTCTCTGTCAATTGTTTAATGACAACATAAATCAAAACAGCAGTTTGCAAGCTATTGTGGGCACTGTTACTATGATAGTCATCTCTGACATAAGAACGCCGTCGGGTAAGTATCGATTCGATATATCATAATATTTATGAGCTAGAAAGGGCGAGGGCAATATCGATGCACTACTTCATATACGCAATCTCTTTTGAAGATTCCTTATATTGTAGTTACAAATAGTTGACGTTTATACGTTAGGTAAACTTCGCTGGCAAGACTTAGGAATATTCAGACAAAAACTTCTGAGATTAACGTAAGTCGTTGAGAGTTGGAAGAATCTCTAATAGATGGTGTGAACAGATTCTTAACATTGAATATCCTTCGATCTCTTTCATTTGCATGATTTATTTTTTACATAAAAGTGCATACCTCAACATCGTCGACATCATCGTCAACCTCGACATCGACATCAACTTCAACAACATCAACAACAACACCAGGTAGCGATATTTAACAGATTAAAATGAATTTTTAAAGAAAGAAAAGTCAAAAGGACGAGATGGGAAACGAGTATAGCAGGAAATGTGACACAATCTATCTATCTATATACATAAAGAAGAAAGTTTACCTGTTTGTCTGTTCGCTATGCATTCGGTCCTTGTAATAGCTATCGCCACCGAACTTTCCACAATACTTCCTAAGTTCTAGAGGAAGGTCGACATCTACCTTGTTCCGGAAAAAAAGGCACGAGGCATTTCTTACAGGTAATCTATGAAACTGACCGATAGGATTGCAGGATTCCAAAATAAGAAAAACCTTTTCTCGTCTTTCCATAATGAAAAATAAACCATATTTCTATAAAAATCTTTTGTTTTCTAACTACTGACATTTTTCAATCGAGTGAGAAGAAAAATCGTTTCGTTTTATCTAGGATGGACAGTAACTGGAAATATGAATGTAGCACGAAAATATCATACAGCATCGATGTTATCAAATGGAAAAATATTAGTTACTGGTGGATATGGTAGTAGTAATCTCAACAGCGCTGAATTATATGATCCATCGACGAGTAATTGGACAATAACTACAAATATGAGTGTTGCACGATTTTCTCATACAGCATCGATGTTATCAAATGGAAAAATATTAGTTACTGGTGGAAGTGGTAGTAGTGGCGATCTCAAGAGTGCTGAATTATATGATCCATCAACAGGTAATTGGACAATAACTGGAAATATGAATGTTGCACGAAATTGTCATACAGCATCGCTATTATCCGATGGAAAAATATTAGTTACTGGTGGATGGAGTAGTAGTAGTGAGCTTAACAGTGCTGAATTGTATGATCCATCAACAGGTAATTGGACAAAAATTGGAAATATGAATTTCGCACGCGTATATCATACAGCATCAACATTATCAAATGGAATAATATTAGTTATTGGTGGACGGAATGGTAGTGGTTTGCTCAGCAGTGCTGAATTGTATGATCCATCAACAGGTAATTGGACAACGACTGGAAATATGAATGGTGCACGAGGTAGACATGCAGCATCGATATTATCTGATGGAAAAATATTAGTTAGTGGTGGACAGAATAATAATGGTGGTCTCAACAGTGCTGAATTATATGATCCATCAACAGGTAATTGGACAACAGCTAGAAATATGAGTGTTGCACGACAATCTCATACAGCATCGATGTTATCAAATGGAAAAATATTAGTTACTGGTGGATCGAGTGGTGGTAGTGAGCTTAACACTGCTGAATTATATGATCCATCAACAGGTAATTGGACAAAAATTGGAAATATGAATGTGGCGCGACAGTCCCATACAGCATCGATGGTATTAAATAGAACAATATTAGTCACTGGTGGATATAGTAATAGTATTCCTCTCAACAGTGCGGAATTATATTGATCGTCAAACATGAACAAAACTTGCTTTTTATTTGCAAATAAAAAAATGAATTCGCCTATTAAAATAAAAGAATTTTGAAATAAAACAGAAATAAATGAATTCATGCTTTTTTTAAATTTATCGACAACGGGTAAAAAATTCCCGTATTCACTTTGTATGTTAAATAGAATTTTGATGGAATCAAAATTGATCTTGTTCAGAAGAAAACATTAGTGCTAGGAAGTGATTAAAAAGCAACAAAATTTGAAAATGAGTAGAAAGAGAAGTTTGATGGTTTGAAAGTTGAAAAAAAGAAATCTTTGAAAAACAGCATTTATTGTGCACTCAAAAAATGAGTACACTACTATAATCGGTCAGTGTGTCTGTCCGTCCGTTTACACGATAACTTTCGATAGAAGAGTCGGATTAAGCTGAAATTTTCTACATAGCATTATCTCATCAATGTCTCGGTCTAGTTCGAAGATGAGCCGAATTGGCTGTGTCCTTGCTGAGTTTTACTAGAATTTTCTCCAATTCCTATGAAAAAAGTTGAATATTTGTGTGTTTGTCAGCCTGTTCGTTTTATATTTCTTCCTTCTACTAGCTAAGAACACCAGACCTTCTGCACATTTCTATGGAACTCTCGTGGGTCTAGGGTGTGGGGTGTGGATGAGGGTGCATTTCACCCAGACCACTCATCTGCCAGTCATGGTTCACTATTAGATATCACTATTAAAGTTTGCGTGGCGAATCTAGAATTAATGAGTAGTGGAAATGCATGTAGATAATGATAATGAATGTGAGCTGATGGACTTGGGTGAAATCCGCGCAAATCATGTTTAAACGTGTTGACGTTAATAAAGCCATTCTAGATAAGCTGGATGATGTAAAGCGTAGAAATCCGCGCAAAAACACGACTTCTCTAAAAAAAATATGTGGTTCAGTTGAAGAGAGCCAAAGTGTCAACAACATGCTACTAAGAACAAATTTCAAATCCCTTGAAGGTTATAGTATACTGCGAAAGTGAGTGTATTACTACATAGGTCAATCGCTAAGCTTTTTCAGCGGTTCCTTAAAATAGTATCCTAAGTATTTATATCGTGCGGGTTGCCTTATTCTAGTAATAAGATATGTTGTAGATGGAAATACTAGCACGCTGTTTCAAAAGGCTCCGATAAAGATAATCTTTAATGAATTTCTAAACACCTCTCTTTTCGCATGAATAAACTAGACCTAAGTGGCATCTAAGAAAACTCATTTGATATTATATCTAACTGCGATGGAAATTCATGAGAAATTAGCCATTGCCCATGGACAAGGCGCTACTTCATATAGCACAGTAACTATAGGATTCGTCGATTTTCAAATGGAGGAGAGTCTTGGAAAGATGATCGTCGAATTCATGATTCAATAACCGATGTCGCT